ATCAGGGATATTGGTCTGAAGTTTTCTTTCCTTGATGTATCTTTGTCTGGTTTGGGTATCAGGGTGATATTAGCCTCATAGGATGAGTTTGAAAGGGTTCCTTGCATTTCTATTTCATGGAATACTTTGAGGAGTATTGGTGTTAATTCTTTGTTCAGAGTCTTGTAGAACTCAGCTGAGACTCCATCTGGTCCTGGGCCTTTCTTGGTTGGTAGCTTTTGATGCATTTTCTATTTCATTACTTGAAATTGATCTGTTTGAAGCATGTATGACCTCCTTATTCAGTTTGAGTAGGTCATATGTCTCTAGAAATTTGTCGATGTCTTCAATATTTTCTATTTTATTGGAGTATAAATTTTCAAAATAGTTTCTAATTATTTTCTGTATTTCAGACGTATCCATTTTAATGTTTTCTCTTTCATCTTGTATTTTAGTAATTTGAGTTTTCTCTCTTTTATTAGCATGGCCAGGGGTTTATCTATTTTATTTTATTTCTCAAAAAAACAACTTTTTGTTTTGTCAGTTTTTTCAATTGTTTTGATTTCATCTCTGATCTTAATTATTTCCTGTCTTCTACTGCTTTTGGTGTTGATTTGTTCTTCTTTTTCTAGGGCTTTGAGATGTAGTATTAGGCCATTTATGTGTTGACTTTTTATTCTTTTAATGAATGTACTCAATGCAATAAACTTTCCTCTTAGTGCTGCCTTCACAGTGTCCCAGAGACTTTGATAGGTTGTTCTCACTTTTTTTGAACATCCTAGGTTTTTGTGTCCACCAGCGTCTCATCTTTTCTGCTGTTCAGTTCAGCCCCATGTCGCAGGCTGCACACTGCTGGTGACCAACAGTGGTCACATCTCCCCTCCAGAGACCCTGCTGCTGGGGGCCCTGGAGACAGACATGGCAGCTCAGGTCCACTGTGGTGTTGACCCAGAGTCCACACTTTCCTGCTCCTAGACAGTGACTGAGCCCAGCAGAGGTACTGGGCCTGGGTGACTCCTGTTCTGCTGGGGCTCCTCCAACAGGCAGCCATGGCTCAGGGACGTGCCACAGCCTGGCCAAGATGTGCTCAGAGCTGCCTGTGGTCTCAGGCTCTTCCTCCTGGGTCCCTCCTTCCTGTCGCCTGCCACAGGGTCAGACTGCGGGGGTCCGTCGGGGGCGTCCCTCTCCACTCCTGCTCGCCCTTTCACTCTTCTGCAGCACTTCCCCTGCTCAGGCTTCTAGATGTCGACGGTGTCTCAGCACCTGCTTCTCAGAGGACCTGAAGGGACTCAGCCACCTGCACTGTGAGGAATGGATGGGTACCGAACCCTGGGTTGGCCAGAACAGGAGTCGCCAATGGGCAAAGTCCCCAGGTCAAGTGAGAACGGGTCTTTATTAACAGCTCTTCTTAGAGAAGGATGACTATTTCTTTTTTTCTTTCTTTCTTTTAATCTTCAAATTCTTTTTTTTAATTTATTTTTTTTAATTCATATAGGACAGTGGAATGCATTACGATTCTTATTACACACATAGAGCACAATTCTTCATATCTCTGGTTGTATGCACGGTATATTCACACCAATCCGTGCCTTCCTACCTGTGCTTTGGATAATAATGATCCTCACAGTCCACCATCATTAATAAGCCCCTGCCCCCTCCCTCCCCTCCCACCCCTCTGCCCTATCTAGAGTTCATCTATTTCATCTTGCTGCAGCCGGAGTGCATTTGTGCCTTTTTATCTTAAGTCTAGTGAAGCTCCTGATTTTTTTTTTTAAAGAGATTCTTTAAAAGACGGTTTCCTTTGACCTTCAGAGGGAATTCATTCAGAGGATTAATATTTCAGATTCTCTGCTCACTCTGCTATTAGCTGGCAGGATTTTTTTCAACCTAATTTCTTCTTGCCAGTCTGCGGAATGAGTGCTCTCTCTGGCTTCAAAGATTGCCATCTGAGAATTTTCCATTTGAAGTCTGTCAGTAATTCAAATGTGACCTTTAGGACAGTCCTACTGGAAAACACGGAGGGGAATGGTGTCTGTCTCCCACAGGACCCCTGCTTCAGTGAACACAGTAAGCTCAGGAAACAGGCCTGGGTTGCATGCTTTCCACCTGACCATCTTCCCTCTCTGTTATTCATTTCTTTTCTTCCAAATTTAGCCATATTTGGGGTTTGAGTTGATCTTTGAGCATCAGTGATTTTCTTCTTGGCTACTTTAGTTCTAGTCTTCAAACCACCCCCAATATGGTAGATTCATCTATGGAGTTTCCCAGAGTGTGACCCAACCCCAAAACAGATGCTCTATGCTCTTTTTTTTTTTTTTTAACTTTTGTTTGATTTCTTTAAGCATAAAGTTTTGCTTAATTTTAGTGGTTCTTGGTTTTCTTCTGTCTCTGATCTTGAAGATGACTTCTCTAAGGCATTTGCTCTCTATGACATAGTTCATTTAGACCTGCTTTTCTCATCATTTAAACATTTATCCTGTGGGTCCCGAGATGTGCTAGTTATTTTTTGAGACAGTCCTGTGGCTCTTTGGCAGGTTTTGTCAAGAGGAAGCAGCCTGCTGGTCTGTATTTGGCCCACTCTTCCTCCAGTAGCAGAGGTTTCCCGGGGCCTGAGTTCAGGACCAGTTTTGCAGAGGTTCTGCCTGCTCTCCCATGGCGCACCATCCTCATGCACTGAAGGGACCAAAGCTTTAATGACCAGGAGATGTTTCCCTGGGTCTCTTGTGACATGAGCCCATAAGAAAAGCTGACACAGAGGAAAGCACAGACTCTTTGGAAAGCCACCAAATAAAGTAATGTGTGCTAAATGTTTAACCCACAGTGCTCAATGGGTGGTATATCCTTATATCTATAAATACATATCTACAGGCCTATATATTATATATAAATATATATTATTATATATTACATAATACATATTGGATACATTTCTATATTATATTTATATACATTTATATATTATATATTTTTCTTTTAGTTAAAAGAATGAAGAGGTTTGGGAATGATATTTCATACAAGATCTTCAAAATACCTAAATCCTTTCTTCCAAAGGCTCCCAAGAAACTGTAATTATGGTAAAGAATAGGAGAGGGGGAATTCTCTTGCAGTTTCATAGTTATCAATAACTGAGCAATAAATAAGTCACAGGAATATTTATTACGGAATTTTTGTTATCCTATAAAGCACTAGGAAACTTAAGTGTTTGTCGATAGGCTACTAATTCCTAAAGGAATTGTGGTTTATTCACACAATGGGATGCAGCAGAGCTGCTAGGAAGAGAAGTTGGCTTATATACACTGATGTGGAACAATTCCCAGAAACACTGTTAAGCAAAAAAGCAAGAGACAGAGCTGCAGGTATAATATTTTTGAAATTTTAAAGCTGTCCCCTTACTTGGGAACTTTCTGGGAAAAACATGCAAGGAGCTGCTGACCATGGCTGACTCTAGAAGGTACAACCAAGGCCCTGGGTTCCGGTGACCTTCCTCAGCATGGTCTTTGGTACTGTTGGACTATCTTATTGGGTGCATGGAATTCTTTTTCAATTAAAAAAAAACTAGTATAACAATAAAAGCTAAAACAGTTGTCCGGTGAGGGTCACTGGTGCAGGGCCCTCCAGTGACAGGCTGTGTTGATGCTCTTCCCTGCCAGCCGGAGGTCATGGAGGGTGGAGGACGTACATAAGCGAGGGTCACAGAGCAGGCCGAGCTGCGAGACACTGAAGCAAGAGGCCCAGTGTGATCAACCTTTCTACAAGGGACGCTGGGCACTCGCGAACACAGGCTGTCCAATGTCACATCAGCGGCTTGGCTTCACTTGGAGGGAAGTGGAGCGAGGAGGGCAGAGGTGGCAGGGAGATGGTGGTGGCAGGATGGGGTCATATTTGAATTTTCTCCCAGCAGCACTGATTCTGGATGCTGGGGTGGAACATCAGGTTGTGATGTGGTCCAGGGCCACCTGCCTTGGGACTGACACCCACAATGGCACACCCCAGGCTCTCCCAAAGTGGCCAGGCTTATTTATTACTCAGTTATTGATAACTAAGAAACTGCAAGAGAATGCTCCCTCTGCTATTGGCCCTCCTCCTGCCTCAGACCATGTCCCTGTATCACCACGCCTACAGCCTCGGTTCCCTTCTCCTGATCGTCCACCTCTCTAAAGGCCTTTCCTTGCCCCACAGAGACCGCAGGCCCCCACTGCATTCCCTCTGGGGACATCCTTTCTTCCATGTTTCTCCATTTTCTGTCTGGTTTTCTCTTTGGGGTAGCAAGAGGCTGAGGCAGCTTCGGACTTTGCATCTGCCCAACTTCTAATCCTGCAGAAAGAAACCCAAGCAAGAGTTGTATTGCTTTTCATTGACTCTGAGTGGGTCAAACATTTGTCCCTGAACCAGTGACAGAACAATTCCTGTGTCTGGAAGACTGTGATATGCTGACTGAGGTGAAGTCACAGCGAGCGGGAGGGCACGGGGGACAACGTGTAGAGAGGACCTGAGTCCTGGAGGCAGCATTCAAATCCTGGATCCAGCTGCACCTGAATGTAACCCTACCCTAGTTTTCGCATTTTCCATTCTGTGAAATTTTCTCTCTGCTTAAACCATTTTGGGTCAGGGTTTGTATTGAAAAAGATATTAAACAATTTATTGTAAAGTAGGCTTGGTGTTAGATGACTTTTGCCAATGTCAGGCTAATGGAAGTGTCCTTAGCACATTCAAGGCAGGACAGGCTGCACTGCCGTGACGGGTGATCAGGCATTTAAAGGCGTTTTACCCTCCTGATGAGTTTATTGGGACGTAACTCCATTCTAAGTCGATCTCATGCCATCTGAATGAAAAAGTAACCGTGGCTTTTTCCGGGGCAGGGGGATTAGAAGTCACTTTCTCTTCAGTGTTTTCCGATTGTGACTCGAGGAGCAAGGATTGCCGCACGATCCAAAGGAAATATTTATTCTTTTCCACCAAGTCCTTCGAGTCCCTCACTCAAGAGAGTGACAGCACCCTCTAACCTGCCCTTGGTGTTGCAGGCAAGAACATGAGCCGGCAGCACGCAAGCGAGAACTGCTCCTTCAGCGACGTGGACGAGCTGATGAAGACCCTGCAGCTGGTGGTCCACGTCCCCACCTTCCTCCTGGGCCTGCTCCTCAACCTGCTGGCCATCCGCGGCTTCAGCACCTTCCTGAGGAAGAGGTGGCCAGACTACAGGGCCACCTCCATCTACATGATCAACCTGGCCGTCTTTGACCTGCTGCTGGTGCTCTCGCTCCCCTTCAAGGTGGTCCTGTCGGGCGTGCGGCAGCCCTCCCCGGCCTCCTGCACGCTGGTGGAATGCCTCTACTTTGTCAGCATGTACGGAAGCGTCTTCACCATCTGCTTCATCAGCTTGGACAGGTTCCTGGCCATCCAGTACCCGCTCCTGGTCAGCCACCTCCGGTCCCCCAGGAAGACGTTTGGGATCTGCTGCGCCATCTGGGTCCTGGTGTGGACCGGGAGCATCCCCATCTACAACTTCCATGGGAAAGTGGATAAGTTCACGTGTTTCCACAACATGTCGGACGGTACCTGGAGTGCCAGGGTCTTCTTTCCCCTCGAGGTGTTCGGCTTCCTCCTTCCCATGGTCATCATGTGCTTCTGCTCCTCCAGGAGCATCCATATTCTGCTCGCTCGCAGGGGCCACACGCAGGACTGGGTCCAGCAGAGAGCCTGCATCTGGACCATCGCGGCCAGCCTGGCAGTCTTTGTGGTCTCCTTCCTCCCAGTCCACCTGAGCTTCTTCCTGCAGTTCCTGGTGAGGAATGGCTTCATCACGGAGTGCAGAGCCAAGCAGAGGATCAGCTTGTTCTTGCAACTGTCCATGTGTTTCTCCAACGTCAACTGCTGCCTTGACGTTTTCTGTTACTATTTTGTCATCAAAGAATTCCGCACGAACATCATGGCCCACCGGCCTTCTAGGGTCCAGCTGGTCCGCCAGGACACCATGATTACCAGGGGCTAAGGGAAGGCAACCTAGCTCTAAGGAAAGAAATCCCAGTGCCTAATTCTTGTAAGGGACATCCCTTTCCAATTGGTGTGCTTCCCCTTTGATGCTCATTGGACACCTTATTTGCTTTTCATACCCCCTAATGCCCAGATGGCTTGATGGACATCACCCCATATGATGAAGAACCTAAGCACTAGGTGAATTTTTCATTCCACATTCAAATAGCATGAGGCAGAAGAACTGGACAGAATGCATCTGAAAAAAAAAAAAAACTTTTTCTCAACTCTCTCATCCTTCTATTCAACTAGAAGATTCTAGAAGGGAAGAAAGAAGAGGCCAGAGGAGTTAGGGAGGCAATGAAGAGCGACGGTGGAAGGTGACTTGAGCAGAGAGGGAGGAGTAGGGAGCATCAAGCCCTTTTCAGTCGGAGGACCCGGAGCGGAGCGTACTCGCACTTTCCAGTCCCTTCCGGAGCGCTGCTGGCCCTGACCACAGGGATGATGACGGCAGGGTGACTGGGCTGGGCAGGTGTGGTGCATAGCACTGCTTCCCCAGGCCTTAGGAGAGCACAGGAGGCCAGCCAGACCTCCCTGTGCCCAGGAGAAGGCTGCGGAGGACCAGGGGCTGCTGGGCCAGGTCAGGAGGAAGTGGTGGGCACCTGTGGAGACAGTGAGGACAAAGTGGAAAAGCTTCAGTGTGACCTGAAAACCCCGAGGGGACAGAATACACTTGGGGAAGGGAGGAGACAGGCCCCGGGCTGTAAGTGGACAGCCCCTCTCCCATGGCCACTCGGGTGTCCACCGCAGGGAGTGTTGGTACTCTTCCAGGGCGAAGAGACGGAGAGAGGCATGAACGTAATAAGCTTTCTGTCTCCGATGGAAACGTGGGGAGTTGATCATCAGGCCTTGTTTCCTTAGACTGGGAGGAAGGTCAGGCTCAGCTGGTTCAGCCTCAGCAGAGTGAGGAGGCATTTGTCTTGCTCACCTGGGTCTGGGCTGGGCAGCAGGACTGCCCAGAGAGCTGTCCCCTCTGTTGGCTGGCAGGAACAAAGTGAATGTGGCAGGGATGGGGACCCATCTCCACCCACAGGCACAAGGGCCAGGCCCCAAGAGGGACAGCAAGGGCCCTGCTGGCAGTTCCTGGGAGGGGTGACTGGAAACAACTGAACCAGGTTTAGATCCCTCTGTCTGCTTCTCCAAGGCTCTGGAGGAGCACACAGTGACAGCTGAGCGCCTTCCGATGACTCAGCTGTTCCAGGGAGTGAAATGATTAGAAGGATAAATTGTGGGGTGGTTTTGCAAGACGGAAGGAGTGGGATGAGAAGAAACCCATGAGACTTACTGCGAACAAGGAGTCGGTCTCAGGGAGAGAAGCAGCCACGGCCAACATGGAGGATGGAGGATGGTGGCTTTGGCTGCCAAGAGCGGGTGGAGGGCCTGGGAGAGGGTGGCCTGTGGAAGGGGGATGGGAGATGAAGGTGACTTGGGTAAACCTGGGACCTGCCTCCTGAGGAGGAGGAAGCAGAGGAGGAAGAGGAGGAGGAAGAGCAGGAGGCAGAGGAGGAGGGCAGGAGTTGAGGGTTAGCCCAGACTTGAAGCCATGGAGGGGAGAGGGGTGGGCAGGAAGAGTTGAGGGCAGAGCCACTTCCTGCCTGAGAGTCTGTGTCCCCCACTCGACTGAGAGCCCCCGAGGGGCAGGAGCCTCGCACAGCAGCATCTGTGGCCGTGCTCTGGGGCTTTCCCCAGCCTCCCTGGGCCTGGGCTGCTGGAGAGAAAGGGGAGGGAGCGAGTGTCAGAAGGTGCAGCCGGGAGTGGAGGTGGGTGGCCCCAGGGACAGAGGAACGGCAGCCACAGCCAGGGCTCCGCAGACCTGGGGTGAGGCTGAGCCGGCCCAAGCCCTGGCCACTCCTTCCTCTCCCTGCCTGAGGGCTGCACGTCCCGTGGCCATTGTGGACAGAGTGAGAGAGCCAGGTTGTCATGCACAGCTGGGCCTTTGCACAGGAGCCGGGAACCCCACGGTGGGGCTGGTGGTAGCCTTCTCAGGCACCGTGCCTACCATGGTGCTTAAGGCCAGACTGGCTTCCCAGCAGAAAAGTCCCCGACCATCCCCCCAAAGTCCCTATTGAAGTTCAAACCTAGAATCCTGTGTGGTAGCATGGCTCTGTCCATGACAGGGGGGACGGCCACCTCTGAAAGGAGAATCATCAAAATGGCAGGGTCTAATGATGTAGGGGTAGGTCCTTGGAGTGGTCCGGCAGATTCAGGTGGTTATGACCCTGGACGGTAGGTAGGCCTTGAGACCCTCTAACCCATCCCCAAACTGTGGGGGGCAGAGAGGGCCTCCTCCCTCTCCCAGAGGGGACTCATCCTGGCCAAGGGACTGTGGGTGGGCCCAGGTCCAGTGCTGCAGTGTGAGGCTGCCTGCTCTGCAGGAGAGTCCATACTCTGGGCCCAGGTAGCCACCGTCCTCTGGGCCCACATCAGCACTGGCCAACAGCACAGAAGGGGTGATGGACAGCGTTAGGGTCAGGGTGAGGCTCAGGGGAGCAGGGAGTCGGAGAACCCAGCACTCCGTTGTGGGAAAGGCTGAGATTCCTGCTACTAGAGTCAGTGGGGCTCAAGGGTAGTGTTTGGCCGTGAACATGACCTTGTTAGTACTCCTCACCTGGAAACACCTGAGACATACCTGCTATATGTACATTTGTGAAACCAGCACCATTAATTGGAAAAATGATTTCATTAATCTGATTTGCCAAATAAATAGATTTGTACAATGCAGTGTGATCTTGTCTTGGGCTACACTTTCTGGCTCCATGGAAGAGCTGGCCCTTGATAGCTCCTGCCAGGGGACCCATCAATCTCGGTCCCTTCAGTGGCCACTGGACACCAGCTCTGACGCTGCAGGGAGCTGGCCCTCAGGCCTGCCTCAGCAGCACAGTCAGGCCTGTCCCAAGTGGCCAAGAACACAAATCTGTGGGGGTTGGTGGCAGCTCCCTGGAACCATTCGGATACCTGGTTCTCTGTGTTAGCAAGTGGCCTGCACAGACCCACACACCAGCCACTGCCCACCCCACCCTGCTCCCATCTTGTCCCATTGCCATGACACCGAAGCTGCCTCCACAGGTCCCAGAACTTCTGCATACATGGGACTCCCAGTACAAGAGGCCTGCTGCTCACTGTGGGGCAACAGACACAGGGCCAGTCTCCATGTGTCCTCCACTGTGACCCTCTCTTCTCTAGCCATCCACATGGAAACACAGCTCACCTTCGAGACCTGCTGGGCTCTGGCCTGGGCCACCTCTTTCTCCTGAGTTCCCCACAGTCCCGAGCACAGCCCAGCCTGGCCTGGGTGCCGAGGACTGACCAGGGACATCCTTGCTCGTTAGCCTGGGAGCCACCTCACGTGGGTGTCATGTCCTTGGGGCAATGATTCCTCTCGGCCCCAGGGAAGAAAGCCAGTCCACAGGCTGAGTTACTCAACCCTGTCTCTCTTGAATCACCTCTTGAGGCCCCATGAAGCTGAGAGTCACCATATTGGTGGAATGCAGCTTGTCTGGGATACAAAGAGCATCCACATGTGAGAGTCTCCCTTGGTAGCACCCTGGTAACAAGTTGTCACAAAGGAACAGCCTTTGTGGGGCTGAGAGTGTAGCTCAGTGGAGGAGCCCTTGCCTCGTATGAGTGAGGACTTGTGTTTAATCCTCAGCACAGGAAAGAAAGAAAGAAAGAAAGAAAGAAAGAAAGAAAGAAAGAGAGAGAGAGAGAGAGAGAGAGAGAGAGAGAAAGGAAGGAAGGAAGGAAGGAAGGAAGGAAGGAAGGAAGAAAGAAAGAAAG